CGGCCGCCGGTGGGGCAGACGGTAAGATAGTCTTTTGTTTGTAATGAGAAATATTAGTAAATTGTATTTTTATCAAATTGCGGACAGACTGGGCGTACGGCTCGGGAAATATTAAATATGCCTATACTGTTGAGCTGAGAGATAAGGGCACATATGGTTTCTCTTTACCAAAGGCTCAAATCAGACCGACTGGTGAGGAAACGTCCAGCGCTTTCATCGCATTCGCCAAAGAATTAAAGAAAGAGCTTTAAAATTGTTTAATTATTTCAAAATCAATAAAATCTTTAATAATTAATAATTTATTTAATACGAGTTTGCTTTTAATAAGAAGGAGATAATGAAAATAATATATGTTTCTTGTATTTAGTTATAAATTTATATTATTTTCTTATAAAGTTATAGAATTATATTTATTGTTGTTGAGTTGTTAATGTGGAAAAATAGTAACAAAATCATACAAATGTGATACTTTATTAACTGTAATCTAAAGTTAAATATTTTTGTGTAAATGTTTATTAATTATTACTATAACGTAAATATGCAATTATTAGATATTGATAGGGGTTAACAATTTGAAGGATAACTTATTTTTGGGAATATTTTTGGAAATGAAAATCATTTCATTTGTCACTCAATTGGTTTACTTTGCAATAATTATAAGAAATCGTTTGTAATATTTTGTATAATTTTGTCAATTGTTGGCAAAGTTTACTGACCTTAAGATTAATTCGATTAGTGATAACCCGTATATAAATCAACTGGTATTTTATGAATTGAACAAAGATATTAAAATATGAAATGTTAATGGTTTTAATTAAATTAACATTAATATCAAATTAAACAAAAGAAACAATCATAAAATAAAATTGTCTCTTAAAAACAAAAAACTTTTAATAAAATACTTCATAAAGTTTTTAAACATTGATATTCGCGTTAAATTTAAAAATGTTTTTAAATTTAATTTATATAATATTTTTACAATTTATTTTACAATTTGGCGTTCGATGTGATGAAGACATCCGTCGATATACTGGTTATTCAGTCATACGTTTGACGCCAACCACTGAATCACAACTAAGTTATTTACGGGAATTGGAGGACAATGTGATGGAAGTAAGTTTTGACAATTAATGTGTCGTCTCATTGATAATCACATCACTTATTGATGACACATAGCTTGACTTCTGGAGGGGTCCCTCATATGTTGACAGACCTGTTGATGTGATGATTCCGCCACAACTCAACCATACGTTTGATAAGATTTTTGAGGATAAATTACTACAAAGAACTGTTTTGATTGAAGACTTGGAAAAGTATTAAACAAATTATTTTAATTCATTTGATTTTATAAATAATTTATATATGATTTACAGTGACTTAATAGAGGACAGAGCGGCTCGACCTTCGTTGAAGCCAAAGCCCCAGAGACAGGATATTGTTGAAAGACATTTCGATGAATACCAAAGACTTCCCAAAATTCACTCATTTTTAGATACGATTGTATCAAAGAATACGGGCATCGCATCGGTTGAGACAATCGGGACCTCCTATGAGGGCCGACCCATAAAAATCATTCGCATCGGCGACGGAAACGAGAAGAAAAATAAACCAATTATTTTCATTGAATCTGGAATTCACGCCCGGGAGTGGATATCTCCGGCCACTACTCAGTGTTTCGGTCAATACCTGGTCCAGGGATACAAAGCCCGAAACTCGGACATCACTGCTTTGCTTCAGAAATTTGATTTTTATATTCTTCCAGTTCTGAATCCCGACGGGTATTGTAATTAATACTATACTTATGTTTGATAATTATGAATACAACTTATTTAACTGATGAACACAGCTATGAACACACGCATACCAGGGATAGGATGTGGAGAAAGACTAGAAAACCATACGGAAATTGCATGGGTTCGTTGACGCACTTTTTAGACATCTATCAATTTAAACATTATTAAAACACACATTTAGGCGCCGATCCCAACAGAAACTTTGGCTATCAATGGGGAGGACAGGGGGCCTCAACTAATCCATGTAAACTTTAAGCAAAATAATAACTCAACTAATTCTTATAATTATAACTATTTTTAAGGCTCTGAGACATACAGAGGTCCGTCTGCTTTCTCTGAACCCGAGACTAAAGCGGTTTCCGATTATGTCCTCCGCAATAAAGACCGGATAAAGGCTTATTTGGCCGTTCATTCATACGGACAATACTTTCTCTATCCATGGGTTTGAGTATTAATTAATACAATAAATATATTAATATATTAACAGTCAATATATTAAAGGGTTGGACAAATACATTGACTCCCGATGACAAACATTTGGTAAGTTTGTGTAATTTATAAATTAAGTAAATAAAATAAAATAAAACAATTTACATTATTATCAGGCTCGTTTGGCTAAAGTAGCGACCACTGCATTGGCCAGCGTTTACGGCACTAAATACACCGCTGGGACGTCAACTAACGTGCTTTGTATGTTATATTAATTGATGTTTTAAACATTAGCACTTAAATTTTACTAATATATTTACTAATATATTTACTAATATATTTTCACTCTAATATCGCCCTTGAATACAACAGATGCGGCCGCCGGTGGAGCAGATGGTCAGATATTGTCTAAAAATATATGTTAAAATGGATTTAAAAAATTATAATTTAATGATAGACTGGGCGTATGGAAGCGCTCACATAAAATATTCCTATACCGTGGAGTTGAGAGACACAGGAAGTTATGGTTTTGCACTCCCGAAGTCACACATCAGACCCGTTTGCGAAGAAACCACTGTTGCTTTCATTGCATTCGCGAAGGAATTGGCGAAAGAAGTCTAACAAAATATTTAATTATTATTTAATAGAAATGTGTTAATCAATCAAATAAAGACCATTAGAAACATTGAATTTAGAGATTTTATATCAGAATTATATAATAGCACTGATGTAATTAATTATTTTCATTGGGTTTAATTTCATAATGCATTTCATGTTTATTTTTGACCAAAATTGTTTGCGACAAACAATTTACTGCTTCAATACCATTGAATGAACTGTTTTGTCAGAAAAGATATTAATTTCATTTATGGTTTTTTGTGACAATTTTGATATTTTCCATAAATCTATTTTTTGTCGTAACATTTATATCACATTTCAATTTGTTATACTGTATAAGTTATACCGCTTTAACTTTTTATATATTGTGTTATTTTCAGTCCTAAATACTGTAGTTTAGGTTTATGTTGATTTAAAACCAATTATGTTTATTTACATGATTATTAAAAACATGTTAATTCTTTTTGTAGTAATTACAATAAGTTTAGTAAATGTATATAAATGTAATGTCAAGACATGGAACTCAAACTTGGATTACAAGAATCCCAAGAATTGGAACCAAAGAAGAATTCCGTGTAGTAATGATCGCATCATTTTTGCTGAAAATACTCTCATTT